CTTTTGATCTAAAGACTAAAGTCTTCCCATCTGCTCAGGAAAAAGAAAATCTATTAACTTTTAATCATTGCTTCTGAATTATCCCTTCTGTGCCTCTTGTGGGAATACTGTTGGCCATGAATGGAGAGTTCTAGAATTGTCCTGTCTGTTCTCTCCCAGCATTTCTGTCTCTCTGTCTTCTTCCCCACCGAGTGCCCGTTGTGTCTCTGTCGTTGGGATTTACTCCACTGGTTTCCTTCAGGATGCACTCTGTTGGCTGTATTTGCAACCCAGGCCGACCATCCCGTTGAATTTCTTGCCCTCCCTTGGCTATTGGTCTAATTTCACAGATGCAGGCTGCTGTCACATCTTACTGAAATCATCATTCAGATGTTACCTCATTTCCCCCTCCTGTTTCTTGCAGCAAATCTCTTTTACCCAGAGTTTTGCCTCTAGTTACTCAGAGTCGCTTCCTTATTGGAGCTACCAGCATTGTACGACTCCAGGACCCCTTTCCCAGACCTCTCTTTAGCTTCTACCTGTCTCCTGCGGGGCAGGACAGTTGAACTTGAGCCTCAGTGCTGTCCCTGTGACTTTGGACTTTGGGATGCTGGTGATGGCAAGAGAGCAGTGGCAGAATGAGAAGTAGAGAACCCATTGGGGCGCTGCTTTGCGCCTCGGTTCACAGGGGGTGGTGGACGCCCCCTGGGGGCCCAAGCCACCCTTGTTCCCGGCATGGGCTCTGTGTCTGTTTTGACAGGGGTGTGCTCATGCTCCTTAACACAGGTGCTCACAGAGCTCCCCCTTACCTCTGCCTGGAGCCCTGCTTCTCTGGAAATGCAGTTGAGGCAAAGTATGTACTGTTCAGCTCCCCGCCTCAACGGCTCGTGGAAGGGCATGGACTTGGGGTAGGAGCTGCTGGACAGCGAAGGGCATGGCTCTCTGTGTTATGTCTAAAGAATTCCGTGAGAGCCATTCATATCGCACATGTCTTCCAACGCTGGACTCCACGCATCACTAGGGCAGAGAAGTGACGCAGACTCCTTCTCTCCACCCCATCCATCTGCACAAGGCTTTGCTTTCGCCGATTGCTCCCCCCATCATGCTGCCCTTGTTCATTCTTTTTATTTTTTATGTTTTACTTATTTTTGAGAGAGAGAGAGACAGCATGAGCGGGGGAGGGGGGGTGGTCAGAGAGAGAAGGAGACACAGAATCTGAAGCAGGCTCCAGGCTCTGAGCTGTCGGCACAGAGCCCGACGCGGGGCTCGAACCCACGAACCGCGAGGTCGTGACCTGAGCCGAAGTCAGATGCTGAACCAACTGAGCCACCCAGGCGCCCCGACCCTTGTTCATTCTTTGCTGCCAAGGTCATCCTAGACCTTGACCCCGCCCCCAACATTGGCCCTGTATTCAGCTCAAGACGGACCTGTCTGTAGTTCTCACATGGTGGTTCAGGAAGTGTAGTCTCCGGGCCCATGGCCATCCTCAGCATCATCCGGGAACGTGTCAGACATGAACTTACCCCTGACCCTAGTAAATCAGGAATTCCAGGGCTGGGGGCCAGCAATCTGGGTACTGCCCCGTGAGTCTGCTGTGCTCAAGTCTGAAGACCTCACCTCCAGCAAAAGCTGAAGCTCTCACTCTGCCTTCTCCAACTCAACGTCACGGGCAGCTTTGCCAACTGAGCCCTGAAGGATGCCTTTGAAAAATGGAAGGGTTCCCTGGAGACGTGGGTGCTCATGACCCGTCCCTGGCCGTGGTTTCCATGGTTACTTTTCATTTCACATAACTCAATATTTTCCAAACCCGTTTGCCCATAGAATTCTTTATTCCTGTTACCTGCTCTTGGTCCTGACCCCGCACTGTATCTTTTCTTTACCCAACGCCCAGCCTCAGTACTGAAGCTTGTTAGAACCCGAGCTCCACCTTCCGTGAACTTACTCCTCACCGGGTAGACTGCTCCAGAGTCAGTGTTTCCGTTGGGGGTCAAGTCTCAGAGGAGAGTCACAGCTGCGCAGTTGTGACCATTCAGACCCCAAGGTGAGGTGGCCCGTGTCAGACTCGTACAAAGAGGGGAGTCTTGGGAGTCAGGATTTACCGCTACCTCGTTCCGTGAACTTGGAAATGTGACGTTTCCACAAGACTCTTGCGGGGAGTGAACGAAGCCAGGTGTGCACGATGGAAGGGGTGTGTGGTTTGTGGTGGGAGAAACTGGGTGTCTGCATTGGCTCCGTCATCTGCCTCTGGCTTCGTTTTTTCCATCAGAAAAAGCGGGGACAGTAATGATAATCCTAGACAACATACATGTGCGGTAGTGATTAAAATATTCAGAAAATAGAACATGTGAAAAATCTCCATAAGCGGCATTATGCTACGAAACGTTTGCTACTATGATGTCACCCCCCCCCCGCCCCCCGCCCGAAACCCTTAATCTTTTCAGAGGCTCTGTCTCTCTGCCTGGTGCATAGTAGGTGATCAGAAAACTTGCTCGTTAAACCGGCAGAGCCCTCAAAGCGCTAGGGCACCTCTCAGTCCTAAGGGACCTTGTTCCTGCTGCCAGATAAGAAATGATTTGCAAGTAGCACACGCGCTGTTTATATTCCATCTTCCGCGGTATTGATTTGTTTATCAAAAATTTTATTTATAAAAGAGCACAAAAATAAGCCAGCCCCAGTTCTGCAGGATGTATCGCAGGTTCTGAATTAATGAGGTCCAAATTTATGACCGTTCTGAATTGTTACTTCCTTTTCCTGCCCTGTCATTGCTTGGGGCGGGGGAGGGGAGAAAAGTGGCCCTGTTACTGGACGGGGTCCCTCTCTCCCTGCAGCCCCCCTCTCCTCCCTTATCCCTGATGAAGGTGCATTTCCTCAGGTGCTAGAGGCTGGTTTCTGGAGCTGTGACATGGCTTGAAGCCTCTTAGCTCAGCTCCAATAATCCCATTCTACCAAATGCTGGGTTGTGACCGCAGTATTTTACAGGAGAGCTCCTTTTGGGAAACTGTGCACCCTGAAGAGTCAGTATCTATCGGGGAGTGGAGGGCATGGCAGAAATGGTGGCAAGATTCTCTTAAGTTCCTGATGGGCTAAGACAATGGTTCTCGGAGTTTGGTCCCCGGATCAAGCAGCATCAGCATCACCGGGCGACCTGATGGAAATGCAGAATCATGAGCCGCATCCCAGATCCCCTGAATCAGAAACTCTGGGAGCTGGCCCGGCCGGCAGTGTTAACATGCCCTCCTGGATTTTCTGATGCACGCTGAGGTTTGAGACCCTTGATGTGGGAGAAGGAAAGAACGGGGCCAGCCAGAATCTGCTCGTTAAAGGGAAGATTCTGGAGCCTGGCACTTAGACAGTGGGTGGTGCCAGCCACTCATGAGGGTCCAACAAATGTTCAATGAATCCACCAGAACTTAGGTTAGTTTTCCTTGTAACCTAAGTAGGGCAATGGTTCTCTTTCCTTTGGCACGTTAGAATCATCTAGAGAACTTCTTAAAAATATCGTTGCCTAAGCCCAGACCCTCACCAACAGAATCAGAATCCTTGGAGTTGTGTGTGGACATTTGCATTTTCAAAAGCTTCCAGATGGTTCCAGCGTGCACCTAGGTTTGAGATCTGCTAATGAGAGGGCACCCTCTTAGGGAAACATGTGATTTGGGTTGTCCTTACAATTACCATGCAGTTTTTCCATTAGAAATGTATTTTACCTAGTTCTGTTATAAAAATGACCTACTTACTAAAGGGGGAAAAAAAACACCTTGGAAAATATGGAAACAGAGAAGAAATAAGACTCAAGTTCCAATTATCTGAGGACAGTTGTGAGTGTCAGACACGTTTTCTTTCCGTTTTTTTAATGCGCCGGTTTGAATTTTTTACAGCACCGTGATCAGAGTTAATATAGCATTTTCTGTCCACTTTTTAACTTAACATTGTGTCTTAGGTAATTCTGCACATTGTTATAATTCCAAGTACGATTTTAATGCGCCCTTGTACAAATATGACACAAATATGGCTTTTCTCCATTTTCCTCTGTATGCACCTCAGGATGGCGTTCACGGAGTCCTTTCTTTCTTTACAACACTTGTGTTTCAAGTGCATGGTGAAATCCTATTTCACATGTCAGAAGAGGGATGTATCTCCCTTTCTCTGTGAATTTCTTCTCCCAGGGTCTGAGCCTTCGCTGACCTTTCCTCAGTCCAGCCCCACAGGTGAATGGGTACGTTAGGCTGACAGGGGATAAGATCTTATTGCAGAAGGTCAAGAGGGGAAAGCAGTAAATATTTTCCCAGTGTTTTAGAACCACCATTCTGGATCTCTCCTAAGCCGCGAGGCTGTAGTTCCTTACGATGTGGTGGGCCTTATCATCAGAGGCACATACAGAGAGCTGTCCCCACCAGACAGACCCATGCCTCCATGCTTTGGAAAGAATGGAAACCAATGAGTAAGGCGAGATGGAGAAGGAAGGAAACCAGACAGAGGAGATGATGGCCGGGCAAATAGACCGACGTTCTGGTGCGCTCGGTCAGAAATGCCAAAAACAAGCCACCTGTTCCTTTCCCCCCACTCTGTTTTCCGTGTAACCTTCCCTGAATTGTTGTCTTTGTTGTGCAATTATATATATATATATATATATATACACACATATACATATGTATATATTTATATGTATATATAAATAAATACATATGTATATGTGTATCTATACACATATAATACAGTTATATGGATATGTTTATATACCCGTATATACACAATTGTATGTATCTATGTACACACGTGTACATAGATACACACATACATGTATATATACTGGATCTATATATTTTTATATACACTGTATATATACTGTATACATATTTATAAAAAATATATATTATGTTATATACATGTTTATAGAATAGTATATATATTTTTCCTCGACGGCTGCTACCCGCTGACTTAGCCGCTGGTTTGGAAACGAACTTCCTCACTGCCGCTGGGGGAGCCGCAGCCGCACCAGGTAACTTTCCCCCATCTTCTTGCAGGACATTATGGGAAGGACACTCACCGAAGTGGAGGACCCGATCTCCATAACTTCATCTCCTCCGGATTTGTCACGTTAGGAAGAGGACACACGAAGGGTACAGTGGAAACCATTTTTTACTAAAATACAGAGGTTGCCTAGGGAGCCCCGAGCTGAAATGGGAAGACGATGTGGCAGAGGCTAATGACCCGGGACAGGAGTGAGGTGGGGGTGGTTCCCGTTCCAGCGTGGCCTGGTGACATACGTGGCTTCTGACAGGAAGTAACCGGCAGGTGCCAGGTGTGACTCTTAGAGGGTCCATAGACTTGCAAGAGATGCCCCTTCTGCTCTGCCCCCTCCCCCCCCGCCCCAGCGTGGAGCAGGACGCAGAGGCAGGAGGGACCCCAGGCAGAGCGAAGCGTGTTTTCCTCTTGGCTCTTCCTCCTTTCCCTATTTAAAGCCACATTTTATAAACCGACGTACGTTAACGGTCCACACCGTGGGTTTCTAAGCCAGCGTGCTTGGCGAGAGTTGCCGGGTCCTAAGCGTGTCTCTGTAAACGCTCCCTGTGGTGTGGACACAAAGGTGGAGGTTACGCAGCCCTTCGAGCCTCAAGGTGAACGCTAACGTGGCATTTCTGCTGAGCTGCTTCATGACCTAGCCGACAGCTTGCAGAACATCTGTCGGAGGGGCGGGGTGTGTGTGGAGTCCTCGATTCTGTCTTTTGTTTAAACAGAGCCCTCTTAGTGTTGTGAGCATCCTGTCATATCAAGAGTAACTGGATCCCCGACTCCCCCGATTACCTTCCTGACACCTGTGTACTGTTATAGACCAACTGTGAATTCTGTTGTAGGGATGGAATGATCCCTGTCTCCCTCTGCAATATGTGTCTGTTTTAAGTGTGAGCAAACCAGGAACTTCGCGACTTTTTCTTACATTCCATGCAATGACTTTTTAAATTCCCCGTGTGATGTTTGTTCACCCCTATAGAGAAAAAAAAAAAAAACAAACCAAATCTGTATCTGTGTATGTATTTTCTGTTGTGTCTCTTTGTGTCTAAATAAAGTTTATTGAGGATACAGGTGACATTTGTGGCTACTCAAAGTCGCAGAATCAAACTGGGACCAGAAGGGGGATGGGTTAACAAATGCATGGTTAACAAATGAAAGACATCAGCCTAGTCGTACGCGTATCAGCTCAAACCTAGGACAGCCAGCCCCCACGTCATCTGCTTTGTGATCATTACCTGTCGCTGCGAAACAAACAAATCTAAAGTGTAGGGTTTTAAAACAATAGCAAACACTATCATCTCCTGTAGGTTTCAGCGGGTCAGAAATTTGGGAGCAGCTGAACTGAATGCTTCTGGGGTGGGTGGCTCTCATGAGGTTCCTCCTGGTGACATTGCAGCAAAGGGCTACATCATCTGAAAGCTTGACCGGGGTGGAGGACCTGCTTCCAGAACCATTCACGCACATCGTGCTGGCTGTTGGCAGGAAGCCTCAGGTTCCTCCCCGTGACATTCTCTCCCTGGGCTACTTGCGTGTCCTCACAATATGGTGGCTGGCTTCCCCAGGGTGGGTGATCCAAGCCAAAGAAAGAAAGAAGCCCATGCGTCTTTTATGACATCAAACCTATGAATTACATTCTGTCATTTTCTCAATGTCTACTTGGTGACACAAGTCCAGATTCGGGGGGGGGGGGAGCCACACAGGGATCCCTGGGGGCCATTTTGGAGGTTGGTTACCACACTTCTACTTCAGAGCTACAAATCTGAATTTTTCTTTTTTTTTAATGTTTATTTATATTTGAGAGAGAAAGAGACAGAAAGACAGTGTGTGAGCAGAGGAGGGGCAGAGAGAGACAGAGACAGAATCTGAAGCAGACTCCGGGCTCTGAGCTCTCAGCACAGAGCCCACCCAACACAGGGCGCGAACCCACGAGCTGTGAGATCACGACCTGAGCCGAAGTCGGACGCGCAACCGACTGAGCCACCCGGGCGCCTCCCAATCTGAACTTTTCAAACAGAACATGGCAACTCTTACCAAGGCTTTCCAACTGCAGTGATTTCCCACCCTTACCCCTACCCCTTGTATGTGGTCCAACCTGAAGTGTCAGCTCATCCAAAGTACTACTAGTGTATGTATAAATGTTTAATATATTTATATATATATAGAAGTATCAATATTGCATAAATACTGTATATACAAACTATATATCTATATATAAATATATAATTGTTATAAATATTACTTTTCTATATATATTACTTTTCTATAAAATTATAAAAAGCATTTTATATAAAAATGTTACATATATATAATGTTATGGCTTTGGGCTCATACATTCATTCAACAAATAAATATTTCATGAGGCTTGCTATGTGCTAAGCAATATTCAGAAGCCAACAAAATAGAGTCTGCTTTTGTGAAAACTCCTATTCCGTTGGGGGAAGGAGACAGAATAAATTCTTGATGGTAAGAGCAAGGGGAGCGAAGGCAGGCCAGGTGGCCCGAACGCCGCGGCAGGAAGCGGCCTGGAGAAGGCGGTAATTGGGCAGAGACTTCATCCCAGGCAGAGGCGGCATGGAAGGCCCCAAGGTAGAAGCTTTGCTGGGGTGTCAGGAAATAGAAGGAGGGTCGCGTGAATGAAGCAGGATAGACAAGGACAAGACTGGGGGTTGGGACCACAGCCAGACCACGCACTTACCGGGCAGTGGACACGGGCTGCAGCATAAAGGGGAGTCTCTATCTCTGTGCTCTGTCCTTAGGTCTCTGTCACCCGGGGGACTGAGCCCGGCCTTGCGTGCGGGGCTCTGCTGTGTGCTGATGCTGATTGCCCCGATCTTAGCTTGCCTGCATCTCTTCCAGCCCTCCTGTGCATGTGAGGCGGCCCCCCCGATCCTCACCCTTACCAGACTCTCTTTTCGATTCCGTTCCATCGAGGTCTCCTCTCTCCAGGAGTGTACCCTGTGTGTATTTGCCAATTGAGAATATAACTAAAGTTTCAGGAGTGAAGAGACTGGGGCTGGGGGCAGGCCTTAGGAAATGGGGTCCCCCCCTTCTGATATCGGGACTCTTTCTTCCCGCACAGCCTGGGTCTCTGGAAAAGGGCCAAGCTCCACCCTCTCTTCCTGCAGAGCAACCCGAGCTCGGCTCTGAGTGGTGCCTATAAGCCAAGAGGCGCCATGTAAATACCCCATGGGAAGGTAACCACTCCGAGGTATGACATGGGGCCATTGTACATCATGTGTATTTCATTCCTTTCTCTTTCTTTTCCTGTTTATTTCTTTTTGCTTCCCCCCTACGGCCTGTCTGGGACCTCTTCCTTAATTCCCATTTTCCCTTCTTCCACCCACATTGGCCTTAGGCCTTCTGATAACACCGGCCACCGCGTGGCCCCGCTATGATGCCCATAACTAATGCGGTAGCCAACTCCTGCTTAAGAAGGTAATACCATTGCCCTACTGACTTGCATCACTGAACTCAACAGATATTTCTGTCAGACTCTGATTATCTGAGAATTTCGCATTGACCGTCCCTATTCTAAATGGCGTCCGGAACCTTCTTTGGAAGCTCAGATGCCGCCAGCCCTGTCTGCCATTTCAAAGGCGCCAGAGGCATCGTGGAGAGAGAAGTGCACTCTAGCATCAGTAGCCGCTCCTCCAAATTCAGAGAGGTGGGGGGTGAGGAGGCAAATTTAGAATGAGATCCCATAGGTGCACAGGGAATTAAGCCCTCTGAGACGAAGCCTAAATAAGAGGATGTGTTTTGGTTAATGGGCTTGCAGAGGTGAGACATTAGAAGAAATGGAAATCTGGCCTTGGGGGCTTTGTAGCTGCCACAGCCCCCTGCTCTCTCTCTATCCTGTTAGGAGACCCCTAGGAGACCACACGGTCATTGATCAACCTCCTAGGGGGCATAGCACCTCCTTGGGCTCACAGGTACCACACTTTGTACTGATGCCCCTTTTCAGGACTTTCTAACTGAATGATGTTCTCTGCCTTTTATAATTCTTACTTTTCCCCTAATTCGCCTCTTCCCTCTTTTTTTTTTAAGGTTTATTTATTTTGATAAGGGGGAGGGGGGAGAGAGAGAGGGAAAGAGATTATCTTAAACAGGCTCCATGCTGATAGCGCAGAGCCTGACGTGGGACTCAATCCCACAAACCGTGAGATCATGAGCTGAGCTGGAGTTGGACGCTCAACTGACTGAACCACCCAGGTGCCCCTATTTTCTCCTTCTTCTAAGGAGCTACTTCCGCATGTGTTCGCTGCTCTGATTTCTTCCTTTGACCTCCTCCTTGCTCCTCAATTAGGATAAATGGAAGTCAAGGTCAAGGAAGATGCTGATCAGAGTGACGGTGCATTTAGACCAAGTTCCCCCTAAAACCTTTCCTCTGTTCATTAGATAGGATCACCCAGGCCCCCATGGAGGATCCCAGAGCCATCTTTACGGAAACAGAACATCCCCCAGGCTGCCACAGTGAAACCCCAATGATAAAGGCTTCTGTTTGCTGAGTATTTACAAGGTACCAGCACTTTGACATATGCCATATTCTTTTCACCTTTATGACAACCCTGTGGGAGAGCTCTTGTTATCCCCATTTTGCTGGGGGGAAAAGTCAAAGTAGAGCAGTTGAGTAATTTGCATGAGCGAACGCCAACTAGTTGGTACTGGTTCATTCCAAATCCAGTCCTGTTTTCCATAGGTCATGCTCCCAACCACCGTACACCTGCCTGTTGGGGAAGGGAGGTGACGAGGCAGCTTATGGGCAGTGGTTCTTTGGGGTGCGCACATGGTGAACACCCCGTAGCCAATGGCTGTTCTTTTTAGAGGCACACATTTTGCAGGACAGGAAGTCACACCAAAAAAAAAAAAAAAAAAAAAAAAGGTGGGCCAGTAACAGGACACCACCACCAGATTAGCTGGGGCTATCCTTCCGGAAAGAAAGCTCAGTCTGCTCAGATAAATTTTCAGGGTCTGGCTAAATGAACACAATTTACGGAGACCCTCTTCCACTTCAGCATTTTGGTGAAAATCTCAGTTGGGCTGGTTGTTTTTGAGTCTGATCAAAAGAGCTGGAAAGACTCTTTCCAGAACCCTCCACACGTCTGTATCA